ACTGGGGATGTGCCTGCAACCCAGGTACATGCCCTTGACCGGAATCGAACCTGGGACCTTTCAGTCCGCAGGCCGATGCTCCATCCACTGAGCCAAACCGGCTTCGGCCTCCCTCTCTTTAAAAACCCTTCCCTATAGCCCAGCTGGTGTGGCTCAGGGGTTGAGCACTGACCTATGACCTGAGGTCACGGTTTGATTCCCGGTCAGGGCACATGCCCAGATTGCAGGCTCGGTCCCCAGTGGGGGGCGTGCAGGAGGCAGCCGGTCAATGATTCTCTCTCATCATTGATGTTTCTATCTCTCTCTCCCTCTCCCTTCCTCTCTGAAATCAATAAAAATATATTTTTAAAAAATGCTCAAGCCTCTCTAATGTAAGAAAACGAACACACAAGACGTAATAAACAAATAAATAAAAATCCTTCCCTATAGTTGAAAACAGTCCTACTTATATCCTCTTGGCCAGAACTTGGTCACATGGTCACACTTAACTACAAAGGAATCTGGGAAATGTAGAACTTAGTCTAAGTGGCCATGTGCTTAGGCAAAAACCAATGATTCTGTTACTAAGAAAGAGCGAACAGTTGCTGGGGGACAGTTAGCAGGCGGCTGCTACAGCTGCATTAACAGCAAATTGATGACAACTGAAAAGCCATAGCACAGACCTGCCCACTCAGCTCTGGGATTCATACCAGGCGCCTGCGGGGACAGGGCACCGTGCCCAGCGCACAGCTGCTCGTCCACGGCTGCTTCTGTTCTCCAGGCCGAGTGGCCACGGAGCGGGTTCTGGGGCTAATTCCTGTGAACTGGCTGCCGTGGAACCTCCCTCAGGACACTTACCTACGCAGCCCCCTTCACCATGGGGGAGCTGGGGAGGTGAATTCATCTGGTCAAGGTGGCCAGCAGTCCAGCCCTTAACCACTGCTCTGAGCACTGGTTAGCACTGCCTGAGGGCTGCAGGCCGAAGCCGTGGCTCCTCCCTGGCATCATCCCGGCCCAGACGCCAGTGACCCGGCTGGGCCTACTCACAGCTCCAGGCTCCCCGCATGTTGTCTGCAGAGATCCCGGCCATGGGCTGACCAGGGCAGAGTAGGCACTGGGGCTGGGAGAGAATGGGGCACGGGCCCGGCCCAGGAAGGTTTTGGTGACAGGATCAGTGGCTCAGGCATTGGATCCAGGCAGTGAGTGACCTTACCTTGCCCTGAGGGTAAGATGCACAGGCGGCAGTGAACACCCAGAGCAGCGATTGTCAGGCTGAGTGGAGAAGTCAGTAGGGGTGATGCATTGAGGAAAAAGAAAGAACAACAGCAACAACAACAAAACGAGCCACTGACAGAGGCAGAGTGCACTGCACGAGGTAAGCCGAGCCGTGTCCTGAGGTTTCAGGTCAGGTTGATGGGAGCAGGCTGGCTTGGGATGTAAGTGCATTTGCTGCTGGGGTGACCCTCAAGCAAGTGCCCACCTTGGATCTGGAACCCTCCTGTCCACAGAGAGAGCTGTTAAGAATGATTGGAATCGTTGCCTTGATCTAACATTTTAAAAAACATTTCACCTATTTATTATTTTATATTGAAGGCGACCCAGTTTTGTAAAAGTTAAAACAGTGTAGAAATGTGCTGTTTTACCCTAACCCTAAAACGCTCCCGCCAGCCTCACAGTCCATCACAGGGCTGGCGAGTTTTCCTGGGTCCTTGTGGAAAGTTTTGCCGCATCTACAAACATCCTTTTCCTTTTTTATTTTTTAAAATATGGTTTTATTCATTTTTAGAGAGAGAGATAGAAACATCGATGAGAGAAACATCATCCATCGGCTGCCTCCTGCACGCACCTCGACTGGGGACCGAGCCCCCAAACTGGGCATGTGCCCTGACTGGGATGGAACTGTGACCTCTTGATTCATAGGTTGACGCCTAACCATTGAGCCATGCCCGCTGGGCTCAGCTATTCTTTTGTAACTTGTATTTTTGGCGTTATTTCTAAGAAGTCTTTGTCTAACCCAAGGTTACAAAGATTTTCTCCTATATTTTCTTCTGATAAAGTTTTAGATCTTATATTAAAGTCCTTGATCCATTTGAGTTAATTTTTGTGTATACTGTAAGGAAGGAGTTCAACTTCATTCTTTTTCAGTGTGGATCCATTCGTCCCAGCTCCAGTTGTTGAAAAGATTATTCTTTCCCTATTGAATAGGCTTAGTAACCTTGTCAAAAGTCAGTTGGCCATAAATGTGAAGTTTCATTTCTGGAGTCTCAGTTTCATTCCATTGATCTAGATCTCTGTCCTTATACCAGTCCCAGTTGTCTTAATCACTGTAGCTTGGTTTTGAATTCAGGAAGTATGACTCCTCCAGCTTTGTTTTGCTTTTTTCAGGATTGTATTGGCTATTCTGAGTCCCTTGAATTTCCATGTGACCTTTAGCACTTGTTTGTCAGTTTATTTAAGCAGCCAACTCAGATTTTGATAGTGATTGGGTTGAACCTATAGATCAATTTGGGGAGTACTGTCCTCTTAACAATATTAAATCTTCTGAACACAGATGTCTTTCCCTTTATTTAGATCTTTAATTTCTTTGGACATGCTTTGTTTTCGTTGTACAAGTCATGCACTTGTTTTGGTAAGTGCACTTATTTTCTTAATTTCATTTCTGATTGTTCATTGGTAGTATATAGAAATAATACTGATTTTTGTTCATCAGCCTTGATGAACTCTTTATTGACTATCTTTGCATATCTGTGTGTATCCAGAGCTCGCACTGTGACAATCCCAAAGCCTTTCCTGGTTTGGGCAGGCCTCCATGGATGAGCACTGGGCTGTTACCAAGAACCTCTGAGGGCCTCTCACTCATTCTGGGGACATGCATTGAGTGCCCACTCTGCCGGGCACTCTTTGAAGCACTGGGACATCCTATATAATAAAAGGCTAATATGCAAATCAACAGAAGGGTGGAATGACTGGTCACCATGATGCGCACTGACCACCAGGGGGCAGATGCTCAATGCAGGAGCTGCCCCCTGGTGGTCACTGTGCTCCCACAGGGGGAGCGCCGCTCAGCCAGAATCCGGGCTCACAACTGGTGAGCGCAGCAGCAGTGGCAGAAGCCTCTCCCGCCTCCACAGCGTTGGCCTTCCCCTGAGGGGTCCCGGTCTGTGAGAGGGCTCAGGCTGAGCGGAGGGATCCCCCCCGGAGTGCACGAATTTTGTACACTGGGCCTCTAGTCTATACTAATAATAGCTTAGGTGGCGTCCTGCCCTCACATCGTCACAAGGTGGCCGTCACAAGATGGCTGCACGCACAGAGGAGGCGGGGCCCGGCGGCCACTCGTTGCGATGAGGCCTGGGGGTCCCTCGGCTCTGTGCAGTGCAGAGGAGGCTGGTCCCAGTGTCTCTACCGCCTTGCGCGGAGGAGGCGGATCCCAGTGGAGGAGGCGGGTCACGGCAGGGGAGGGCATTTGTGGGCGATCAGGCTGGCAGGCAGAAGTGGTTAGGGGCAATCAGGCAGGCGAGCGGTTAGGAGCCAGTGGTCCCGGATTGTGAGAGGGATGTCCGACCGGCAGTTGGACATCCCCCGAGGGGTCCCAGATTTGAGAGGGTGTAGGCTGGGCTGAGGGACACTCCCCCCCCCCCCTCCATGCACGAATTTTGTGCACCGGGCCTCTAGTAGACAATAAATGAGTGAATGAGATGATTTCAGTCTGGGAAAATCTATGAAGAAAGTAAAACAGACTACGTGCTAGGGGAGTGACTAGTTATGCGTTTGAGAGGGGTTTTTTGTTTACAATAATTTTTTATTTTTCAAATACAGTGGCTGTTCAATGTTATATTAGTTTCAGGAGTACAGCATAGTGGTTAGACCTTTATATAACTTACACAGTGATCCCTCTGAGAAGCCTCGTACCCACCTGGTACCGTACTCAGTTATTACAATAGGATTGACTATCTTCCCTAGCCCTGGGACTGTTTTGTAACTACCAGCGATGTACTTCTTAATCCCTTCACCTTGTTCACCCATCCCCTAACAGCCCCTCCATCTGGCGCTCCTCAAATAGTCTCTGTATCCGTGAGTCTGTTTCTATTTTGTTTGTTTCTTTTGTTCTTTAGATTCCACATGTAAGTGAGATCATGTGGTATTGGTCTTTTCTCTGTCTGACTTATTTCACTCAGCACAATGCCCTCTAGATCCATCCATGTTGTCACGAGTGGTAATATTTCATTCTTTTTTTATGGCTGAGCAGGATTCCATTGTATATATGTAGCACCACTTTTTTATCCAGTTGTCTACAGATGGGCATGGGTTGCTTCCATATCTTGGCTATTGTACATAACGCTGCAACGGACATAAACATGCAGATATCTTTACAAATTACTATTTTGGGATTGCTGGGTCGTGAGGTTGTTCTGTTTGTAATTTTTTGAGGAATTTGAGGGGTTCTTTGAATTGAGTCGGAGAATATTCCTAGAAATGTGGCTTTTGAGCTGGGATCCAGATGACGAGGAGGAACTGTGTTGGAGGATTAGGAGGGTTGTTCCTGGCACGAGGAACAGCAAGGACAAGGCCCTGAGGTGGGAATAGGTTCCCCGTGCTCACGGGTGGGAGAGAGCAGTGGTGTGGGGGCCCCACAGCTGGAGGAGACCAGGCAGAGGCCAGGACACTCAGGCCTGGGCCCTTCGAAGGCACTGAGATTGTACCAAGAATGTGGAGAGGAGCTGAGGGAGTTGGGCAGGGGAACCCTTGATCTGAATGTCCTGAAAAGATCACTCTGGTTGTTTAAGGCAGCGTTTCGTTCCCCTGCCTTGTTTTAAGCGCTGAGTTCTTGGAAGTAGGATTGCTGGTCGCCGAGTTTGTACATTTGAAATGTTCCTACCTGCCGCCCGCCAGGTGCCTCCCAGAGGACCGCAGTGGTCTTCAGTCTGAGGTTGCAGCTCTTGTCACCAGCGGCGTGTAGATGAGGTGCCAGTGAGCCAGCCTCCACCCGGCCCCAGCACCCACATCCGTGCTTCCCTTTGCAGGGCCTTCTCCGCAGCAGCTGCCCAGGAACTCTGGCTGTGCCACCCCCCCCTTGGGTACCACGGGCACCCTGGGAGCATGGCCGACGAAGACCTCATCTTCCGCCTGGAAGGCGTTGGCGGCAGCCAGACCTCCAGGGCCGGCCATGACGGGGACTCTGACACAGACAGCGACGACGACGAAGAGTACTTCATCTGCCCCATCACCGACGACCCCCGGGCACACCAGCATGGCAGCTGCCAGGTTGGTGACTACTGCAGCGACCTAAGGAAAAGCGAGCAGCACGGCTTCGGCGCCTCCCCGGGGAGCTCCTTCAATATCAAGGTGAGTGGATCGAGGCCCCACCTACCCCAGCTCAGGTTACCCCCGCCCCCCCCACAGGGACGGGCTGTCGGGTCTCTCCTGTGTTTCCAGACGGGCAGCGTGTACATTCTGGGTCTGAGTCTGTGCCTGTTAAGCTGATGGTCGGCTTAGAGTCGTGTTTCTAAAGAGCAGCTCGGGACCCGCTCCGGGGTTGGGAAAACCTTGATCACCTTTTTTAAGAAATGGAAGAGAAGGGAAGACGAGGGAATATTGGGAGGCATTACAAATTGTAAAGATATTATTTTTCGGAACATATGTATGCACACGTTCACACGTAAATGTGGTGATCAACTTAGCCTCTCACGACAGACCAGTTAACTATTTTTATTTCACTCCTGTGTGTGCATGTGGCCCGGGGACATGATGTACAATGTAGTCCTTGATGTTGGTTGCAGTAATAAAAGCCAGTGCTTGGCTCGGCCTGTGTAGCTCAGTGGTTGAGCATCGACCCGGGAACTACGGCCACTGGTTCGGCACCGGTTCAATTCCTGATCAGGGCACATGCCCGGGTTTCAGGCTCCATCCCCTGTGCAGGAGGCAGCTGATTGATGACGTTTCTCTCTCATCGATGTTTCTATCTCTCTAGCCCCCTCCCTTTCTCTCTCTCTGAAAATCAATAAAAACATTTTTTTTTTTTAAGAAAGCCCATGCTTGGGTTGGGCATCCTCCTTCTGGCTTGAGGGAAAGGGCACTTGTTTTGTTAGGCGTTTGTGTTCATATCATGGCAAAGCTTATGCAGAGGAGAGGGAGAGAAACATTGCTGGGCTTTTGTGCAACTGGTAGTGAAATAGTTCAATGAAGTACCTTTGTCCTTATTTAACTTAATCCTCACAAACAGGTGTAGTGTCTGGTAGGCAAAGTGCTTATTACCATTAGGGCTTTGAAATTAAAATCACGTTTGTAACTCAGAATTAATCTGTTTTTGGAAAATCAGTAATTTTCTTGGACAGTTGAATATTTTTTCCTCTCAGGGTCAGAAGTCTAGTTTGAGTTCCTCTGGGGCAGGCAGCTCCAGAAATAGCCCCGGGGGTTCCCACTGAGGTTGCGGCCACTGCAGGGTGAGGCTGTGGCTTGACCCCCCTGCCTGTGTTATGGAGGCCCCAAGGGAGGGCGGGAGGGCTGTCTAGCCTCCTGCTGTCCATTTTAGGTCAGGAAGGCTCCTGCCCCAGAGGGGTGGGGCGGAGGGGCTCCTGAACCAGAAACCAGCTCACGCAGGCTCCAGCGAAGGGGAATTTACTGTGACAGCTCAGGAGAGCTTCTTGGGGGCCCAGGGGTAAGACGTTGACCAGATCCAGGAACCAGAGGCAGTAGGACTGTCTCTATCTCGTCTCTCAATCTCTGCCTATTCTGGTTTGTTGGGTTTTTTTTAATGGATATTTTTGAGAGAGGGGGGGAGAGAGAAAGGGAGGGGGAGGGGGCTCGCCTGTGAAACACTTATCTAGTATTCTTTCTGTATGGTATGGTACGGAATGTTAAGGGAAGGTAAGGGAAGGGAAGGGAAGAGGAGGGGGAGGGGAGGGGAGGGGAGGGAAGGGAAGGGACTTGTTTTTCCACTTATGTATTCATTGGTCGATTTTCATATGTGCCCTGACCGGGGATGGAATCCACAACCTTGGCATATCAGGTCGATGCTCTAACTGACGGAGCTGCCCGGCCAGGCCCTCTCTGCCTGTTCTTTATTCTTCTCTGCCCCTCGGTCTGCACAGTGAGAAAATGGGCCTCCCTGCCACGGTCCCCTCCTTACAGATGGAGCCACATGCAAAGGCAGATTTGACCTCTGCACCCCAATTCCGGGGGTGGGAGGAGGGGAACCTGGTCGGCCTAGCTTGGGTCAGGCATCCTCCATCTCTGATGTGGTCAGTGCTGGCCAGGGCATGGGATGGGGCTGGGGGGTCACAGAAGAGGGGCTGTTTCCAGGGCAGGAGGATCCTGCTGGTCTCTGGGAGGCGGGGGGGAGCTGGGGAGGACTCAGGAGGGGCTCCATCCAGCTGCCTGTTCTCAGGAAACGGGTCTGGGGGGCCTCTAGCACACACTGAGTGGGTCCCCAAGCTCAAGGGTCTTAAACACGGATGGACACAGTCTCTGATCACAACAGCTCAGGATGGTGAAGCTTTTAAAGGGAACGCAGGCCGAGTGATCCAGGAAGGGTTTTTTCTGTAGGCATGGCTTTAGAGCAGCAGTTCTCAGCCTGTGGGTCTCGACCCCTTTGGCGGTCGAACAACCTTTCACAGGGGTCGCCTAAGACCATCCTGCATATCAGATATTTACATGACGATTCATAACAGTAGCAACATTACAGTTATGAAGTAGCAACGAAAATAATTTTATGGTTGGGTCACAAGATGAGGAACTGTATTTAAAGGGCCAGGAGGTTGAGAACCACTGACTTAGAGCGTGAGCTTCGTGAGGGCAGGGCCCTGTGTGACCTTCCACCACTCACCCCAGTGCCTAGAGCCATGCTGTGCACACAGTAGGTGCTTCATTTGGAATCAGTGAGGCGATGGTTGAATGCTGAGCTCACTGCCCTGTGGGTGCTGTCTCTCTAAAGAGCACATGGAAGACAGTATTTACATAAAGCCCCTGTGGGCCATCTGATGACGGAAGTTATTACAATAAAACATTTCTAGCTCAGACGGCAATCCCTTCTCCAAGATCCCTCCTCAGCCAAAGGGCCCCATCCAGGGTGCTGCTGACATTTGGGAGGGACAGTTCTTAGTGGTAGGACTGTCCCTTATACTGCAGGCGAGTCGGCACGCCCGGCCCCTGCCCACAAGGGCCACATACCCCACTCATTATGACAACCCCAAGTATTCTCCGTCTATGTTTGCAAATCCGCATGGGGTCCCGCCTCCACCAAGAACCAGGACAGAAGTGTTTGTACCAGCGCTCAGATTTACACACTCGCAGTGTGCTTTGCACTGCTGGGGATGAAGGAAAACATGGGAACCGCTCATTTGTCCGTCCAGAGGAACCTGTTGCAGACCCAGGCTCCACCGAGTGCTGCATTTACATGCGAGCAGAGGTGACCTTCCCTGTGGTTTGACTTGGAAACCGGGCAAAGATATGTAAATCTGGGGGCGGGTCTGTGGAAAGCCTTTGGCACAGTGCTGGTCCTTACGTACCATCTGTTTTGATTTTCATAGGCTGTTTTGTTTTTATTTTATTTTTTTAATATATTTTTATTTATTTCAGAGAGGAAGGGAGAGGGAGAGAGATTGAAACATCAATAATGAGAGAGGATCATTGATGGGCTGCCTCCTGCACGCCCCCTACTGGGGATTGAGCCCACAACCCAGGCATATGCCCTTGATTGTAATCGAATCCAGGACCCTTTAGTCCGCAGGCCAATGCTCTATCCACTGAGCAAAACCAGCTAGGGCTGCTGTTTTTTTGTATATGCTGATAAGTAAAAAAGCAAGTTGAAATATAATACAATCCCACTTTTTTTAATGTATATTTTATTGATTTTTTACAGAGAGGAAGGGAGAGAGATAGAGAGTTAGAAACATCGATGAGAGAGAAACATCGATCAGCTGCCTCCTGCACATCTCCTACTGGGGATGTGCCCGAAACCCAGGTACATGCCCTTGACCAGAATCGAACCTGGGACCTTTCAGTCCGCAGGCCGACGCTCTATCCACCGAGCCAAACCGGTTTTGGCTACAATCCCACTTTTATGTAAGCATATATATACACATATATTTGTATTTGCATGACAAAAACTGACAGAATTTTGCATGCAACAATGAACAGTAATTCTCTCTGACGGGGAGGGTACAGTTCAGGGGGACTCTGATGATCTATATTATTACATATTATATATGTTATATATTATACATTACACATTATCTTAAACATTTGGAGCTTTTAAAACTACATGTATGTTACTTACATGCAGAAAAAATGTTTTTAGAAGAACAATAAAGCAAAAATCAAATCAAGAAGGCCAAGTTCCAAGCTCTCCCCAAGCCTGGCTTTGCCTTTGGTGTCTCTCCCTGAAGCCTCTGTCACCGGCTGTCTGTGTGTCTGTAGAATGGTAGGGAGGCTCCCTGGGACCGAGCTGAAGACAGGTGCCCTGGCCACCTCCTGTGCTCCCTGGGGCTGGGCCCCTCTGAGCGCGCTGTGAGCCTGTCGCCTGTCATTCTCTGTGGGTGGGTCGGCCTGGCGGCCAGGTGGAGCCCTCGGGTGCCCACGACTGAGGCCCTGGGCCGTCTGCAGTGGGCTCAGTGGGTTCCTCGGCCGGTGGTGACTGTGGAGGGAGACAGCAGCTCACTCTCCCTGCCACTCCACACACCTAACCTGTTTTTTATTTACTGTTGACATGGCAACCTCGCTGGTTTAAGCAAAATGGCCACCTGGCATTCCTCCAGCAGCTCCGCCAGGCAGGTGCTGGGCGTGGATTGGATGGCGGGTTCTGTCCCTGCCCAGGCCAGGCCCTCCGCCCGCTCCGCTGGTGCGCGCCCACCCACACATGCCCACAGGGACAGAGTTTGGTAACGAGCAAGTCGCTCCTTTCTCCTTCTCTCTCATTTCTCTGTTTTCCAGAATAAGCAAATCTGTGTTTTACATTTCTTAATAGAGGAGGACATTTTATTTTTTAAAATTGCTTTCCTGGCCTGGGACACTGGGGATCGCTCCACATCAGCACACTCTCCCGTGTTTAAGGTGGATCACACTGTGTTCCGTCGCACGAGGTGTGTGGGTTCGGTGAGCCCTCTTGAGGGACACATGTTGTTTCAGTGCTGTAATACATGTGCTTCTACATGTATGTGAGCAAAGTTTAAAATGCACATATTTTATAGCGTGTAATCATGTGAACAAGGTGAAAAGAACTCACACGGTAGGAATTACATACATTGAGAAGCCTCCCGCCTCTGGCCCCTCGTTCCTCGCACGGCGGGCTGATGCCAGCCAGGGCTTTCCTAGCAGGCGCTGTGGGCAGGCTGGGCGCTCGCTGCACG